CCTGTCACGCGGGCCCAGGCTCTGAAACCGTGTCGGGCACTCGCGCCACACCGGCGTGAATCGCACGCGCCAAGCCAATAGCCCGGCTTCTTGCTCAGTCTATTTTGGGCTGGTCCATTGCCCAGCTCGGGCTGGGTACCAGTTCATTTCATGGGGTGGACTTGATTGACAGAGGCCCGGCACGTTTTTTGGACTGAGGGCTGGGACATTTTGTCCCCGCTGGACTTGCTCTAATTTACCTTGCCAAAGAAAGATCATGCATTAATTTACAAATAGCAAGATAGATGGACTAAAATAGCCCATACAGGTTATGGACCTGATGCACCTCCAAAAATTTGTAGGACAATATGGGCTTGACGCATCCCCCAATTTGAGGCCATTGAATTGAAGAATGGACCACTGGTGTCCTTTTTTTGGGTTCAACAACAAACGTCTGAAACTTGTGGAAATTGTGTCCAAACACAACGGTTTTCACAAGAAAACATCAGAAAGTCATTAAAAATATATATTTTTTTAAAACCAAAATGGTCTCTAAAATTGGTATACTCTTCATTGGTCGTGACAATAAAAATTGATAGAAGTGGTCTTTGTGTTTGCCCACTGTAAATCATTTTGGTTATTCCGTGAAATATCCTCTTTAAATTATCACGTGAAAGACTACATGATCACATTTTTAAGGGTATTTTTGTCCAACCAATCCCTCTACTTAACGAGTATATTGACATATTTTTCACGGAAGTACCAAAATAATTTACGGGGGACAAAATCAGGGATCACTTTTATAGATTTTCATTATCAATGACCAAAATGAGAAATTATATCAATCAGAGACTATTTTAGCAAAAAAAAAAACCTTAAAAAAATACATAAGAAACACATGGAAATTGCTTGTTAAGAATGAAGAGGAGAACCTTAAAAAATGAGGAAAATTAAGAGGAGAAACGTTGACTATACAATATATTCTAGCAAAAGGATCAGAACCAGAATTTTCAAAGTATATTGTTGTCCAATATATAAATAGATAAATTAATGGTTATCTGACTTGAATTGTTCTCAAAAAATTGTTCTTGACTGGTAAAAAACGCCAGACGATTATATTGATTCATATACAGTAGCTTAATCCTAAATCGAATCCTTAAGCTTTTGTTTAGAAATTTACGGTGAACATCCACTCAAATTAAAGTAATGTGCATTCTCTACAACTTACATCAAAGTACCATAACTGGATCATCATCAAACAAATGAATTTCAATCATAAATGTCACTAAACCTACGTGGAAATACTCTAATCTCATATATTACACATTGTTTACATTTATCAACACATCAAATAAATATTGAAACCTGCTTGCAGCTCAAGTAATTAAGAATACTCACCAGTATTGTGATGTTGTGTTCAATTTCTCCCCTCTCACAATCATCGACCATGATATCACAAACTTTTCTGGTGACTGTGTCGTTGAGATGGGGGTATAGCCACGGCGTCTGTACTTCCCTCATTAACTAACATAGTATTGCACTCAATCTTCTAACATAATCTTTCTTCTTTGATGCCGCCGGCCTCCTTGTATTACTCGAGCTCTCTTTCACAGTTGGAACCGCGTACCAAAAAATAGACGTACACAATATGGCAAACGACCGCCCAAACAAGGTCAACAGCACCAAAATAAAGATCACAACGACCGGCAAATAATAATACGGCTTTCTCCACTCATCCAACTTCATTTTCCAACTTGAAAATCTTCCCTTCTTGCTCCCTTGATCAGATTCCGATCTCGATTGCTTCTGCTTCATGTCTTTCTTGTCGATGTGGGATTGGTCAATATTTTCAAAGGCTTCTGAATTAGGGTTTGCATGCTTCTCTTCACGATCACTAATTGTCTTTGTTTTGTCTTTCAGTTTGATCACGATTGGAACCGGAGCACTTGTATCAGTCTCGTCCTTGAACACGAACCGCACAAAAGATTTGTCTTTCGGGTCAATTTGCTCATAAATCTTCTGCCTTTTTTCTTCTAGGTCAGCTACAAGTGCAGAAAACTTGTCAAGGCCCCGGTCCGAATATGGGTTTTTGCTGTCCTTGTTGTGTCTTCTGTAAATCAGGCCAGCGCTTCTCGATCTCGATGATTTTCTTGGAGATGGAGGCGAAGTTGAAATCATGTGCTCATCATCTTCTTCTACTTGGTGACTAAAACTGGCACAACTGAAAGGGCTGAACATGTTGTGGTAATTTTCAGGATTTTTTCTCTCTCTCTCTGTCGTTTAAATTTTATTGGTTTTCTTTCTTTATCTGAGCTGATGATTTGGTTGTGATTGTGAAAGAGGAAGAAGAGAGGGCCAGATATATTATTGAAGGGCCTGCTGAGAGAGGCTGATCCAAACAAGCCTAGTCAAATTAGAGGTTTGAAAAGACAAAATTCCATTGAAGCTTCCGATCACCAAATTTATTTAAATATGGTGACGCTTGACTTCTTGGGGAGGAGGCAAAATTATGGATATAAATGCGTGTAGAAAGAATGATTGTATTGAGGCCAAAAGACAAGGAAAAAATGGACATTGAACGAAATTAACTCGTTAACTTAAGCACATCTACTCCTTAATACGCCTAATGCTTGGACAAATTAAAAGGCTTGAAGAAGTCCTACGTTAATGTCAATATTGAACCTAGGCATCTACGCGCATACATTTTTCAGAATCTTAAACCTGTAATAAGTACAATATTTTCTAGAAGGGGCACCATAATTAAGTTTTATGCTTTGACAGGTGCTGAGTTTTTGTCATGAAAAGTCTCAATGCTATTAGTAGTGAAACTACACGTGTAAATTTTGGAGATTATTTTGTCGAGTTCTCGATGTGAGATTTTACTTGCATTCTCCAACAAGTTATGTTGAGGTATTGGGTAAGAAACATTCAACACGTTGATCAAGTCAAACCGTCTATATTACTCTTTATCATTTCAATGCCTTTTGTTTTGTGATAACAATTGTCGATTTGAGCAAAAAATTTCCTCCAACAAAGTAAAAAAACGAATGTCACTAAACATACATGGTTGACTATTCATCTAAGGTTACACATATTTGACGAGTAATTGAAGAGAAGGGTGAACGAGTATAATTAGCAACATTGTAAACAGACATCGTAATCACATCATTTGCTCTGTGTCACTGTCTAAGAACACAATTAAGGACCTCAAAAATCAAAATAAAACATGCTTACCTCACACGCTTCAGATATTGTAGTTTTCCTCTCACTTTCTTCTGTGTAGGGCAGCAATATATATATTGTTAATTGAAGTTGTGCACGCTTACTTCAAATTTACAGGAACATGAACAAGAATAAAAAACGTCTATTTTTCAGAAGTCCTAGAACATCTAGAAGCAATCAGATCACAATAATTCAAGCAAATTGTGTGGGTTCACAATCGAGAGACTGACCGATTGAGTTGCTAAAATATTTTAAAGGGACATGGATCCTCTCTGGATCCATGCATCCTAATTATAGGGATCCACTAATCCGGACCATTAAAATTTGATTTAACGGCTAAAGTTATTATAACTTTTAAAGTGGATCCTCGTTTGTAGCTGTTGGATCAAATTTCAATGGCCCGAATTGGTGGATCCCTAGGATTAGGATCCATGTCCATTTTAAAGGGCCTTAACCTCTCCAACTCATTTTCAAAGAATAGAGTAATAGAAACGTGGACTGGTTGTACGGCCTAATTTGCATTGTTAACGATCCGAATTGTTTATATTTTAAGTTTTAAGTTATAAATTATTTATACAAAAATCGATTCAATCAGAAACTATGTAGACATTTATTTGAAATAATTTAAACAAATGATTGTTAGCGGGGAGGGCTAGTGTTATGGTGAAAATCAAACACCTTTGTGACCCTCTTCACTTTGATTTGGGATTGGATTATGGGGTTGTTGAAATAGAGAATTCTGGGCTTTAATTTTTGAGGTTTGTGTTTTGTGATTGGACGAAAGTTGTGGAATTTGGGAGCTTTGATCGATTGAAATGGAGGATCAATGAGACCATCAATAGAGAGATAGAGAGGGAGTTGGACAAGAAGAGAGAGAGGGCGAGGGTAGAGAGAGTTCTAGAAAAGAAAAAATAAAATAAAAAAGAAGAAAAAGAAACAAAGAGAATTAATTGTTATTATTTTTATTATTTTGTTTCTTATTTTGATACTGTACAAACCATTTAATTAAGGAGGCAGATTGTCTACTCTGCTGTTACCGTGCCCTTCCCATCCCCTCTTATTTGTGTGGTAACGGTTAAGTCACGTCAACATTTTTATTGATTTTGTAATAGAGATAATAAGACAAAAAACAATAGGAATATAAAATGTTGACGTGACTTAATTGTGACCGCACAAATAAGAGGGGATTGGGAGGGCACAGTAACAAGAGGGCAGACAATCTGCCTCTTTTAATTAAACCAGTCCAACTTAACTTCTAAAATGAGTTCAGTCCGATAATTTGGTGCAATAAATGCATCCTTACTAATTTATGTATGAATGAGACTACGACAAAAGCTAAGCCGTCGTTTTGGTGACCGAATGGTGAATATAGGGGTAATTTGGCAAATTCACACCCCGAATTCATTTATTGTTGGATTCCATTTCCCTCCCATCTTTAGAAAGTTAAAAAAAAAAACTAATGAAAACAACTGAAAAACTTTGAGTTTTAACGATAGGAATAAAATAAAAGATAAAGTGAATAGTACCAGGATTGACTTTTTAATGTAAAAATATGATTTTTCATTAAAGTAAACAGTACTGAAAGCTTTTCGTTAAAGTTTTCAAATTAAAAAGCCATAGTCCAAACAAAGTCAACATGAAGACTTCAAGTTTCTTAACAAGCAAACGACGTCGTCCCGCAACCCACGGGGACACGTTGGTCATTTAAAAAACTGCCGTACAAAACCGGAATCCGAAACATTCGCAAAAGGCCAGTCCCACATGAATCGCTATCCTATTTGCAGTTAAAAAGGCAGAGGTTTGGTCTGCTGGGTAGGTACTCATAAAAACAAACCAACCGAAGCCTCCGAACCGACCACCAATGACGGCCCCAAACGGCGCCGTCCCCAAACAAGCCGACGACCGCCCCGGCACCGAGGCCGAGTTGAACGAGGGCGCAGTGCCCAACGGGAAAGTGAGGGGACCGTGGTCGCCCGAGGAGGACGCGGTGCTGAGCCGGCTCGTGAGCAACTTCGGGGCGAGGAATTGGAGCCTGATCGCCCGAGGAATTCCCGGACGGTCTGGGAAGTCGTGCCGGCTGAGGTGGTGTAATCAGCTTGACCCCTGCGTCAAGCGTAAACCCTTTTCTGGTAATTTATCGCCGCCACTTTCGTTTTGATATTTTCTTTGTTTGTGTTTGATTGGTTTTGTTGTGTTTGGATTTTGACGGTTACTGAAATTCGATTAGGATGTGCTTAACCAAGTGGAATTATGAATTTTCGAGTGTCGATTTTTCGAATTCGAAGCTGTTTGTGAACTCTTGTCACTGTCTTGTTTGTTACATATGTCGGAAGTGTCTTCTTGGTTTCTTGTTTGTTTAATCAAAGATGTAGTATGTCGTTTTTCGAAAAATTGTCGGCATTGGATATGGTTCTAAGTAGCACACAAAAGGGGTGGGATTAATGTTGGTATATCGTAAGTCTAGTGTGTTGATCGAGGAGCCAAGCATTTCGTTAGTGTCGAATATGATTTCAAGATTAAAGATGGAACCTTGAGAGATATGCAGTTAGTCTAGCACGGTACAAATTTGTTCGAATTTTGTTGATGTTGGAACTGGTATTGTGTTTGGACTGTCCAATGTGTACATAGACGCTCCAATTAGCGCGGTCTTTTTCTTAGTGTGGTTTTCAGTCTCGAGTATGTTGTTTCCATAATGTTAACATATCTCGTTTTTGTCGTGATCTATCTGTTTGTTAATTTGTGATTTTGTATGTATGTGGATTCTCAGCTTTCTTGATTCTTCTTTATGTGCAACTTTTGGACAATGTTTAAGGAATGAATGCAACTGAATATTTGGAAAGTTCAGAATGATTTATAACACCACGATGGAAGAACGTATTTGAAGTTGTGGTCACAATTTGGTGATACATTTTAAAGGATATTGTGTACATGTAGGGTTGGTGCACCAAATCATTTTAATTAGGTGGTTCATCTATTTTATTAGTCCCTAGGGATCATTGGTTGATTAAGGTAAATGTCCTTGGGTTAACCTCGGTTTATGTTGTTTGGAATTGCATTAAGATTTTGTATCATGCTGGTTCTCTTGTTGCTAAAATGTTGCCGCTGGTTCAGGACCTCAGGTTAGTGAATCAAATATAAAGGTCGTACCCAGTGCACAAGGCTCCCGCTTTACGCAGGGTCTGGCATATGTTAAATGAGTTAAATACTGGCATACCTTTCTGTCTAAGGTTGTCATTACATTCTGTGAAATATGTTAAATGAGTTTGATACTGGCATACCTTTCTGTCTAAGGTTGCATATTTATTTGCTTCATTGCTTTTTCTGAAGTTTGCTCAGTGTAACTTTAATTAATGCAGAGGAAGAAGACCGTATTATAGTTTCAGCACATGCTATCCATGGGAACAAATGGGCAGTAATTGCAAAGCTTCTTCCAGGTAGAACAGATAACGGAATCAAGAACCATTGGAATTCTACACTAAGGCGCAAGTGCTTTGATAAAGGAAGGTTTAATACTGGACCTGGGGAAATGATGGAAGATGACACCTTTGACAGAAAAAATGCATCCTCAGAAGAAACCCTGTCAGTTGGGAATATCAGTTCATTCAAGACTCATGAAGGAAGAGAGGTCTTGATGGAAAATAGACCAAACCAGTTCGATGTAAGAAGTCATGCAAAGGAGGGCTCTGGCGCTGCCGAATCAAAGCACAATTCTACTCTTATTGCCGAGCCAAGAGACCATCCGACTCTCCAGTCCACCATTTGTTGTCCAGTGGCACGTGTTAGTGCATTTAGTGTTTATAACCGTCCAAGTGTTCCAGCAAATGCTTCATCGTTGTCAAGGACAGTCCCAAGTCATGGCCCTTTGGTCCCAATAACTAAACTAGATTTCGGCTTTGACAACTTCCTTGAAGGTGCATGCAATGAGCCTACGGTTCCTCAACGCTGTGGTCACGGTTGCTGTGATCGAATTGAGGGGCATTCTCAAAGCTCGTTGTTGGGGCCTGAGTTCGTTGAGTATGATGAGCCTCTCCCTTTCTCTAGCCACGAATTAATCTCCATTGCTACGGATTTGAACAAGATTGCATGGATTAAGGGTGGCCTTGAGAGTAATGGGATAAGGATGCCAGAGCACGTAGCAAGCCAGAGAGTCTTTCAAGCAGCTGCCACTACCTTGCAAATGGGGTTGCCAGCAAACACTCCGATGAATGACCATATGCGCTTTGAGGAAGGAAGAAACAAGTTGATGGGAATGATGACGGACGTGCTATCAACCCAGGTGCCTAGACAAACTTTTGCAATGCCAACTGAAGTTGAGGGATTGAGCTAGAACTCATGGCTGGTCTTCCTCAGTCTTCCGGGTGTTTCGGTTAATTTACAGCAGATTAAGTTGAAGTCTCCAGTTTCATTTAGAAGGCTTTTCACTTTTGACTTATCTCGTTTAAGAGGGCATTACATCAAAGATATATATGTAGGTACTTCTCTACCCCTTTTGTCATGAGCAAAGAAGCTGTTGACTAGTAAATGCTTTTATACAAGTGCTTTTATCTCAAATCCGAAAACATAATTGATAAAACTTTGGCACTCCAAATCGATTATTTTCGAGTTTATTCACATTCAGGTGGGAGTGCTAGAAGTTAAAATGAGCGTGAAAGTCGTTATACGGAATATCAAAATCATTACTTTTGTTAACTATACGCTCATATCTTTTTGTCCCCTTAATTCCCTTAATTCTCATTTGATCTGTTCAATTCAAAGATTAGAAATAAACAGGGGTTGCAGAAGAAGTGCCGAAAATCATCTCCCATAAAGAAGAGATTTTGGGCTTACCTTACCTGGTTAGGTCTATGATCCTTATAAAAAGGGGCTAAAACAAGTGGATACGTGGCCCTTCATAAACATGCTGAATAGGATCAAAGTCGATCTTAGACTCAAAACAAGCTTCAAGCTTGACCCATATTCTCCATTTAAGAGTATGTCCCTCATGTAGTGAATATTGGAAGAGCAAATGGGAATCGCTGCCTGATTTGATCAAAATATAACCGTTTCATCTTTTTGTCAAAATTGCTCTATAGATGACATGGTCAGACATTCCCACCATATTTTTTCTTTCAAATATTTAATCATTAAATTTGGTTTTCAGAGGATGAGGAAATAGAATCCAGATCCTCGTCAGATTCTCTTTGTGAAGATCCCAGAGATCTATGAATCATATTTGTTCATCATACATCGTGCGATCAGAAATTATTTTAAATATTTTTATTTAAAATTCAATACAAATAGTACCTGATAAAAACTGACCGCACAATATACGATGAATGGACATGATTTACGAATTTCCAAAATCCTCACCAAAAGGATCCGGAAAGAATCCTGTTGGGAGGAAATATACCGGATCTCTTCCTCCAAAGCAGGGATCAAGTGATCCTGGTCCTTAAAATTTGATCAAACGGTAAAAAATTATTATAACTTTTAAAAGTTTGTACTCACTTCTCTGTTTTTAGCCGTTTGATCAAATTTCAAAGGCTCAGATCATTTAATCCCTGAGCTTTAAAGAGAGAAATCCAGAGATAATCACTTCCCGTTACACAGACAACTCATTTGTCAGTGTCCCCCACCCCCCCTCCCCACATATTTTAATTTTGACCAAAAGCTTAATTTAGGATTTTGGCAAACATGAGGTTAAAAAGAAAATTTTCAACTTACCCTAAATTGCATGATGAAGGAACAGCTGTTCCATGCGCACAGTGCTAGCCTATGTTTTTCTCAATCAATTAATGTTGTGAACAGTCAATAATACCCTTCAGACAACTAGTGTTATCAGTTATACATCAGAACTACATGGGCATGTCTGTCTTTCCACAAGTTAAAGTGGATTGTCCTCAAAGAAAAGAATGGGGTCTTCATGTCAGTTGCGCAAGCGAAACAGAAGCAGATTGAAAAAAGCAGCTTTGGGTGAAGAATACAGTGAAATCTGCTTTTGATGCATGCAACTTCGGTGCTCTCTGCTCGACAGTTTTCTGAAGTCACCTCAATCACTTCTTCTCTCCTATTAAATTAAAACGTCACGGTAATAATACATCGTTTCACATAAGTTGCTTTAACATAAGTTGCTTTAAGGAAGAACCTTATTCCTCTTATCTTCTCATTTACAATGATTAAGCAAAGAGAAAAAAAACCTCCTCCTTTATCTTCTCAACTGAAATGATTAAGTAGAGAGATTAGCAAATAAACACACACTAATCTCCCTCATCACTTGTTAAACCCAAAAGGCAAAGTTAAATATGCAATGTGGTGGCACGTTATTTATTGTTTATGATCACCGAACAACACACTAATGCTGTTAATTTAACCAAAAAAGCAGAGCAGCAGGGAGCGAGGGGTCAAAGTCGTCTGTTTTGGGGGACACAAATTAGGAAGCTGTATATGTTATTATGTTTCAGCTGCTCACTGCAAACATTTCGGGTTTTTAATAGTGTGCGCGTTTATTTATCTCCATTGTCCTATATAAAAGATCTTACTTTGGTCGCTGACACCGAGAGTGAGGAGTGAGGTGAGAGAGAGGGTTACCTACTGCTACCGAACCCAGTTGCTGAAAATCTAAGAAACCCACTTCCTGCTGGGTTGAGAGCTTCTTCAACCTCTGTGGGCATTGATGATCTCGGCCGCACAGAGCCATTACATGAGGATTCTCTCTCTGGGTTTTGCAAATGGCAGCCGTAGACAAAGCCCATGTGGTTGTTGATGTGGAGGAGGGGGAAGTGGGACGCAGCAGCGCCGCCACGGGTCGACGTAGCTACCCTGAGTCCGGCTCCGAGGGGTCGGAGGACGGGGAGAAGAGGTGCTCCAGTGAGTCAGGGTCTGAGATTGTGGAGAGGGAATCATCTTCGTCGGAGAGTTCGGCGGAGGTGGATCTGGAGGAGGTGAAGATTCACGTGGCGAAAGTGGAGAGGGATTGCAGGATTTGTCACCTGAGCTTGGATGCAACGAATCATGAATCTGGGATTCCTATTGAGCTGGGGTGTTCTTGTAAGGCTGATTTGGCTGCTGCCCACAAGCAGTGTGCTGAGGCTTGGTTCAAGATCAAGGGTAACAAGTAAGTTGTTTTTACATCCAAAGGTTAAATCTTTCAGTGTTTTAGAAATTACCCAGATGTTAATTTATTTACTTTTATCTGTTAGCAGTGATTTCGTTGAAATGCTAGGTTAAATTGTTATGTTGTTTTTCTGAGGATTGTGTAATTATGAAGTATAATTTGGGGATAATGCAGGAAAAATTGTTTTACTTAATGAGAAGAACTTAACAATGCAAACTTTTGCTAAAGCTATATTCTAATCTACGCTAATTTACGGGGAAGGGATTTGGAAGGGGGAGCACACTGTTCTGACCAACCCGCCTAACTCAGTTTGCACATGATAATGCAAACTTAAATTAGAATAAGTTTGTGTGGTGCTTTAAAGAAAAAGCATATTAGTGTAAATCAAGAGCATAAAGCTTAATAAAGCGAAAGTCCAAAGCACCCGCAGTCCTGCATGGAATTCCAACTGTGCACATGCATGATTCTTCTCCCATTCTTGCCTTGTTGGAATGCCTGCACTTTGCATTTCTCTCACTCCTTTCCGACGCTTTTTCCGCCATCCCGGTTGGACAAGCTGGTTGGTGATGTGTGCATTGTAAAGGTCAAATAATTTGTTTTTTCTGCACATTCTTTTGATATGATTTGTTAACTGAAATTACTTGACTCAGTAAACCTGTATTGAACATGTGTTTTCCACATACATTTAGCTTCATGATGGATGTTTTGGAAATAATAATGTGCTTTTACCAAGTTTCCTTTTTCTGATATTGACCCACTACGAATTTTCCGACTTGACGGCTCAAACTGTTGTAAGATGCCATCTTATGAAGATTGATCACCGAATGAAGTAGGTTTGTCTTGTCAAAAGCACCACAAATGTTTTGCTCCGTGTTATGTTCCGAAATTATTAACCTACTCTTGAATTCTTCGGAATTTTGTGATGTTTTAACTTTGAAGGTTTCTGAAGGTTGAATTTCTTTTTACCTTTCCTACTCCCATTAGACAAAAACCTTTAAATTGCCTGGTGTCCTTCTATTTGTGTCAAAAAGAAAAAGGAAGGAAAATAACTGAAATAGAAATTGATTGCGTAGTGCGTCTGCTTTCTCATTCACGACTTTGTTCCTTTCTTCTATTAAGTTCTTGCTATAAGTTGGCATGCTTTTCATGCAGAGTTGTAAGGCGCATTGCTTATCGAATCCTTATGACCTCATAGATTCTTTATGCTTGGTAGTGCATTCTACTTTTTCATTCACGACTTTGTTCCTTTCATCTATTAAGTTCTTGCTATAAGTGACAAGCTTTTCATGCAGAGTTGTAAGGTGCACTGCTTATCAAATCCTGATGACCTCATAGATTCTTTATGCTTGGTATGTTTTTAAAGGGAATTATGGCAGAAACCATTATCAATCTGATTGAGATGGTAAAAAATAAGTACATACCAGAAAAGATAAAGATTTGAAATTTCATATTAAAGTAAAAATCTCATTCGGTTCTTGTTGAACTTTTCTGACATCCTAAAACCATTATCGTAAAAAGCTTAGCTGTATCTATTCCTTGATTTGGTTCCTTGTTATTAAGATTAAAATGTTTGTGCGTTTATGCAAAATTCGAAATAGGTTTTTTTGTTTTTTTTTGTTTTTTGTTTTTCCCATAGGAAATCGAACATGTAGGTTATTGTTTTGGGTAAGATCCAAGTCTTACACGCAGGTTTTGTGACTCTAACCAAGCATAGAGCACGGAGATGTGCGTGCTTTTTACCACACCGTAGTAAGAAGTTGTTCCATTTGATGTATTCATTTATTATGAATTCATTGTGTTATTAAAAAAACTGGACATCAGGTTTCCAGTTGTGGCATGAGATATGTGATAACTTCTAATCTAATCCTTCTTATATGAATACAGGGAATGGCGTTTCATGCTACTAACTGTGCCCTAACTAAAAAGTTTCATAGAGCTCCCAGGAGGGATGCTGAATGACAGGTGTCCTATGCACCTGCTTCTTTCTTCAGCTCTGACTTTAGAATTAGAAATATCTTCTAGTCAATATCAAATCTTTAGTTCAGATTGCTTAACCTGTAACCAAACAAAGGAGTTGTTCTTCACATGTTTCTTTGGGGTATCCTTTACAATTTTATGTTTGTGTTATTATTGCTCAACTTTCGGATTAAATATATATGATTGCAGAACCTGTGAGATATGTGGATCAACCGCACGTAATGTATCTGGTTTGAGTGAAGCTGAGTCGGCGGAGCAGTGGCATGATGAAGCCGCACTGGCAGCAGCAGTAGCAGGTGCCCCTGTGCAGACACCAGAGAGCCGAAACTTCTGGCAGGGTCACCGCTTCCTGAACTTCTTACTAGCTTGTATGGTCTTTGCGTTTGTCATCTCGTGGCTGTTTCACTTCAATGTGCCCTCATGAAAACCTCGTGTAGAGGGTTGTGCATTTTACTTCGGTGGTCATAGAGAGGTAGCAAACAAGCACTCAATGGTACCTTCCT